ATGATTCATTTCCAGTGATGATGCTGCTTAGCAGTGTGATGAACCTCAACGTCTGTCGCGTTTTCCTGCGTCTGTAAGCCCTGATTAGACAAACTTAATAAGTTTATAACTTATTAGTTTGTCGTATCCACTTCCAAAAAGTCGACTCTGTCAAGTAAATTTAGAGAATGAGCAGTAGTACCGTAGATCGTCACTAAGAGGCGTGGAACCTTGCTAGGTGGAACCGTGTAAACGGTCGTAAGGAACCAAGCTTGGCACGGTTAACTGATCCAAGCTTGGTCCAAACTTGGCACAGATTCAGAGCGTATGTAAATGGAGCTTTTTTACCGCCAGAGGTGGTGTGAAACCATGCTGGAATGGCTCTGGCTCACACATGGACAGGTGCTACAGTTAGGGACACGTCTTTTACACACCAGCAAACAAGGACTATTTTAGAACAAATACTCTCTTTTGGCAATATTTTTATCATTGCCTATCATCTGTCAATAACTGACTTCAGATTGCTTAACAAGTGATGATATAAAACCTTTCATTTTGTGTTACAGATGACTGATTAATGCTTCCAGGAGAAGTTCACCAATCACCGGTGGCATTTTTATCCAAAATTAATTTTGTGGCCATATTTTATTACGTGATAAAGATGTTTTAAAAATGTGTGGTTGTTTTTTTTATAATAGTAACAGAAGCTCACTGAACTGAACAGCATCATGAGTCAGCGTTTTTAAATAAATCCAACAGTAGCTCCATTAATGTAACAGGGGTAAGATTTTACTTTTTAAAGTTAATTCCAGTTTCTAGAAAATTCTAGATTACATTGAGGCCTGTGACTGAGGCCTGTCTGCGACCCCTAGGGCGTCCACGGAGGTACTGCATGGGGATCGCAATTTTTTCGCTGAAATTTTTTCCACTAATTAAAATATCTCTAAATCCACATTAACATGAATCCAACAGACTGTAGTAAACAGATAAATGGAGGCAGAAGATGTCTTTCAGTCATCAATGCTCATATTCAGAGACACACAGGAGCTCTTTCAAGCTGGGCACCGTTTCATTCACAACACCTGTCCCATCAACCAGGAATCAGAAATACTTTAATAATCCCAGGGAGGGATTACTTTAGTTACATTACTCCATCTGTAATAGAGTGACTATAGGACCAATTTGATATTTTCAGTTTTATTTAACTGATATAACACAATTTCATACAATATATATAATTAGGGGGTCCCTGCTTTATCTCGCCTTAAGTTTGGGGTCCTTGGCCTGGAAAACTTTGAAGACCCCTGCTTTAGAGCAACAGCTTGAGGATATCTACATGCCAACTGGTTGATTAGAATTGATGCCAGAAATAGTATTTCTGTTCGACAGTCTTATATGTAAATATGTGGATTTAACCAAATTGTTCTTGCTCTTTTACTGGACTCATATAAACAAGTGAGATAAGATGAAAATAAGAACCTTTTGGGTTTGGTGTGAAACAAAATAATAAATATGTGAAAAAGAGCCGACTGATGAGTATGGCAGGGAGTCTGTGATGACGGACCTGGGAGTTATGATGCGTGTTATCATAAAGTTTTTGAAAAACCTAAATATCTTAGATGTGATCATACTTGTGCTCAAATAGAACAGACTTTGTGTATAAACTGAAAATGAGCCATTTTTTGACCTGTTAACAGGTCATAACATTCTTTTATGGCCGTCTCAACACACAGATATAAATCTTCTAGAAAACAGATGGTAAAAAACGGAATAATCAGGGATCCCTTTTTCTGTATTTCCCACATTTGCAGAACTTTATTTCTTCTATTAAAGAAGGAACCATAGAAAGTATGAAAAGCAGTGATTCCAGTCCAGTCATTGTATTACTGCTGATTTGTGAAAATTATTATTTCTCAACATGAGAATTTTCTACCCCTCACTAAATAAATATTCTTAAAAAAAAACAGACTGAGTTTTTACTTTATGTTAAAATATGAGCACACTGAAGGCTGTTAAATAGGCCTTTACATGGCTGTAGTCGGCACTGTGTGTGAGTTAGAAGCTTCTTCATGCAGATGAGGGACAGCATTTTTAAACAGGCAGTGGCAGCCGTGACAAACTGGTCCTGGAGCGCTGTCAGGCCACTACAGGGCTGCAGATGTTTCAGACTCACAGCAGGGATGGAAGGACCTCAGCACTAAAGATACAGACCTGGACCTAAATGTCATCCAACTGTGCCATGAGAAAGGTTAAGAGTTTTTCTCTGGCTGTTTTTTTTCTTTTTCTAAAAGACAGAAATTAGCAGTTTAGTAAATTACAGTTGGAGTAGATCAATGTGATTGAACCTCAGAGGAGAAGCTGTATTTTTTTATGTGGTTAGTTTAATTTCATGCTAAATGAAAACATGTCAGACGTTCGGTGAATTTCCTCTGTAATTTCCACCTGTTGCTTTAAGCTGTCAAGCATCTGTTGATTTTAATACAATCATGTTCCTGAGCTTGAAAACCTTGAGAAAACTCTAAAAAAATGTTAAAGGATCAGAAATCTTGTGTAAAGAGTCATAAAATCCAACCACCTTATAGGTAAAACAGAATCAGCCTTTCTATAGTTTTTTTAGTTTTTATAAACCACTATCCTGTTATAATTCACATACGATAAAATACTATTAAAAAGCTGCAGCAGACACTCAATTGTTTTGTTTGTGCTTGATCCAAATGTGTGAATAGTTGTATGTATTTGGACCTTCCCTCCAACCATTGTGTATTTTGAGCCAGTAATTACTTTAAAAAGCAACATGTAAGAAGAACTGTGGATGAATTTATACTTTCAGCGACAGACAGACGGACAGTGATCTCCAAGTAACGTGTTCATAAACCAGCAATTTGTTTTATTTATTTATAACGCACTTTACATTTGACTTCAAATCTCAAAATTTGTTTTATTGTTAATAGGGATGGACCGATAGGGAAATCTGAGCTGTATCAAAATCAGATGTTTATGTTGTCATTACTGATTTTTACCAATATTATATTTTTTACTAACCTTTGGAGTCCATGGAAAACCGTCTGCAGTGCTGACATTGTTTCTTCGAATCAGTTAAACTACCACAATCCTGAGCTCCATCACAATCCCCGTCACATGACCAAACATGACTGACCCTTTCCCCTCCAGAAACAAAAACAGCAAATACATGGAAATAAACATTACTGTTTCTATTATCCCAATTTTACTAATCCGTCCAAAACCAATATGCAACCCTAGTTTTTAATCTTCATTTAACCAGGAATGTCACCACTGAGATTAATAACCTTTTATATGCAGGCCTGGAATTAAAAATGAGAAGAGCATAAGAGAAGACACAATAGATGTTTTAAAATAAAAATGATAGAAATAAATATTTTGAATTAAAAACACAAATTTACACCTTCAGTGTAGCTCAAACCCTTTTAGGAAGCTGTCAAATTAAACACAGATTGATTGTGTGTTGGAAATGCAGACCTTTTGCTGATTATAGTCACCATTCCACCCTGACACAATACATGTAGGTAAAGATAAATTAATACATGAATAAATATATAACAAAGCAGAGGGGAGAAAAGGAGAACAGACAAGGCAGCAATATAAATTAAAATGATCTGTTTGGTATCCAAGGTGACGCTCTGAACCACTGCGTTATTGATCTCCAGTCTGTCAAATTACCTTATAGTTTCTGAACCTTACAGTTTTCTATGGAGTCACATTAATGCAGGAAACTGCTTTACTTTCACCCTTTTGTTCCTGCGTGGCCATTATGTGATGAATTTATGCCAGGTTTGCTGTTGCTTATGTCTGTCGACTTGCTACTCGTAGTTTTTCTTGACTTCAACCATGTGAACAACAAAAAGAAAAGTTGTAAATGTAATGACGTGACATTCTAATGTATGAATTTAAATAAAGCTTTGATATCTGGTCCCTGCATAGCACAGGTACATTTTTTGGGGGAAGGATCTAAAAAAGTTGGACGTACTGTTTGTCCTCTTTTAGGAGTGTCTAATGTAACGTCTTTGCTGCTCTGCGGCTCATTCTAATGTTGGTCCTAAAAAAGAAACAGCGGCGAAAGGCCTCCATTGCTTAAATCAAGCCTAATCACTTAAACACTTAAATAAAAAAGAAAAGTGGATGCTCCTGGATGCCGTCAGTACCCGTTTGGCTACACGAAGGATTTTCCTCTCTTTTTTAGCCTCTGAGCCTCTTGGATAGCTGCAGTTAAGTTTCTGTTTCCTAGCAACACGTAGAGCAGCGCTTATTTCACACTGTTGCAAAGAGACGGTGGACATCAGGGCTGTCAGCGAGTGAGAGGGAATCTCCCACCTGAGAAATTGGTCAAATATTGAAAGAACAGCTGTGTGGAATATGAATCTTTGACTGCACCTGGTCTGTAAACACAATAAACTTTTACTCTATATTTTTTTTTGTATCAAATGAATTGTTTCTTCTCATCCTGATCCGTGATGTAACCAGTGATGACTGTTTTCATGGTGTGTGCGTGAAAACAAAATGACACTTTCCCTCTGTAGGCGTCAGCGACAGAAACTGCTCCGTTCAGCCTCCTCTTCCTCCATCAATCTGCATCCCAAGAGTAAAGAAATTCCCCTAATCAATCACTCCAGATGTCCACCTTTCATATTATTGGTGTATTTCCTGGTTTGCTTCATTTATCCTCTTTTTATTCACTAAAAGCTCACTTTGATCTACCATTTTCCAGCTTGTGTGTTTTTTTGGGGTGTTGTTTTCCAAATCTTTGGGTTGTTTATTTTCATGAATTTGTTTTGCAGACATTTTTTATCTCCTAAAGAAAAATAAATGTTTGGTCTGTGCAGCAATCAATAAAACCATCCTTTATTTTGTTGATACTTTAAGTAGTGACTGTAAAGAACAGGCTGTAAACTAATCTACGATTAAGCCTTAAACCTATATTCTACACTGCTGCGGATGCATTAGCTTTGTCATCTTTCATTTATTTCTCTAACTTGTCTCTCCAGGTGGTTCGGGATCAGATCTCACACTGCACTGTGAAGCTGCGTCAGACAACAGGACTGATGGAGTACTGTCTGGAAGTCATCAAGGAGAACGATCCCAGTGGTTTCCTGCAGGTAGTACGTTGCTCAATGGGTTGTAAAGATGTAAAGATTGGAGCAGGATGTTACATATAGCTCCATTTTATTAGGTGTCTATTACAACAAAACTTGACAGGCTGACAGGCAGATTGTTATGATCCTTAAGGACAAGGGACTCTCATTTTAGGACCACAATGTTCACATTTCGGACAAAGAAGACAGCTGGTTTGAAAGCCATTTATGTTGAGAAAGAAAAACCAACCTTAAACAGAGGGGGTGGATTCAGGTTTCAGCTCTCAAAAACCTACAATAGAGTTGATTCCTTCCCACTATCACCTCAACCCCACCCCCTTGGAAAGCACAAAACATCTTGCCTGGGCAGCCGGGTCAACTATTCCCCCCAACGACTCCCTTTCAGAGGTGTAGACCAGTATCTGGTATTGCAGGCTAACAAAGAAACCTAAACGACTCCCCATTTCTAAGGGGCGTGTCATGAGTTATTTAAGGATCTGACCCAAAATGCAGAAAACCACTCAGAGAGCAAGGCAAAAGTTTAACAGGTTTATTGTCTTAAGGGTTGAGGGGTTGGATCTGGTAACTCAGTGTACTCAGAGGGCTGGTGAACCGGAACTGGAAGGGAGGAGGGAAGTTCACAGAGGTGAGTTCAGGATCCGTGGGAACTTTGAACGAAGACTTCGAGAGACAGAGAAAACGGGACTCACGTTAGTGGAGAAAACTTTCTTCCCAGAATCCAGTCTGTGTGGGTTGAGCCAGAGGTAGTGACTTGTTGGAGAGTGGACAGGTAGACATTTGTTGGACCCGGAGGAGCTCGGAAATCTTGAACGGAACTTGTGGAGGTTAATCCCCCCCCTGCTCAGTGTGAGACTCAAACAATCCTTCCAGGGAAGGAAGGCCAAAAATCCAGCTTGCAGGATGACTTCCTGCCGAAAAGGCAAAGACAAAAACACAAGGTTAGGCTCAGTGAAACAAAGACTCAGTTAGAACTCAGCTAAACTCAGCTTGGCTAGAGTACCCAAAACTGGCAAACACTCTGGCACCAAGGTAGTGACAGTCCACTGCTTAAGTACTCCTCCTGATAATGAACCGAGACGCAGGTGTGGAGGGAGGACCAACGAGGAAAGGGCGCCACCTGGTGGTGGAGGGAGAGACAAACACAAACAACAGACCACACAAACTGGATTCCTGACAGGGCGTGCCCATTCTTCTGCTTCAATTTGCATATTTTCTAAGCCAAAACAAGTTTTTGGGCTACGCTAATTCTGACATATTGAATTGAAAAAGCTTCCTGGATGGGAAGCAAAACGTCTTCAAACATTGAAACAAATTCCAGTAGATTGTTTTTAGTGGATTGTTGTTCTATAGATTTACATCATTTTTGTATTTTTAGTTTTGCTGCCCCCTAGTGTCCTTTCATTTCCACTTAGATCCTTTTTGTAGTTAATTCTGTCTACACCTGCTTCCTGTCAGCCAACCTTTCCTCCCATTGTTCTGTCCCCCATATATACACCTCCTGTTCAGTTACTCATTGCTGGATCCTCGTCAGTCTTTTGGTTTATCTCTCCCTCGTGTCTGCTAGTGTTTTGGTTCTTGAATTCCTTGGTCCTCCTGTTCTGGACTTAGGATTTTGTATCTTAACTATTCATAAAATTTTGCAAGAAATCTTCTCTGCCTCCTTCTACTCTGCATTTGGTTCCATAACTACATCCACCAATCCTGACACAGACAAACACATTTGATTGTATTTTAATAATGGTTATACAACAGTTGTACTTGGGAGTAAATTACTTGGGAGTATCTTTATAAAGTAATAAGGAATAAATCAAGTTAAAGGTGTAGTGGAGGATGTTCTTTTTCTGGGTGGATAATCAAAATAAGTGGTCCTACTAGATGTCAATTCTGGTAATATGTGTACGTAAGGCTGTCTTCGTGCTCGTCCCCATTTTCACTTACCGGTGGAGAGTCTAACATAGTGGAAAAATTACAAATCTTTGTTTGGAAAATAAGCTGTGTGAGTAATGCAAACAGCAACTTTTAGACAGAGCTTGCACCAGGAGAAATGGGCTCGTGCACGCGCTCACACACGTTTAATAGACGTTCCCTGCAGGTACAGTTTGTGCATGTGCATTTCTTTTTAAAGTGGAGAGGGAGGGTCTTTTCAAAAATGTGCAAAAATCCTCCACTGGGAGGTGAAAAAGGTGAAAAATATGAAGTACAATAACCCACCTCCATATATTGGCACATCACCTACTTTGTTAAAGAAGCGCATTATTCAACTATTTAGCATCCAGTTTTCATTATTGACTTCTTCCTGCATCTTACTAACCTGACAACAGCCAGATGCATGTCTCGCGTGAGACATGCATCTGGCTGTTGTCAGGTTAGCATCTTACTTCTTCACTCGGAAATATTGGCGCTGTTCTCTTGTCCGCAGGGCAGTTCAGAAAATGGGTCAACTATGGCTCTGATTTAAGCCATTCTTTGCTGTTTCTCATTTTATAGATTTTTATGTGTGCTCACCGATGCTGAAAAATGAATAATCTTCAGCTTTGAGGTTTATTAATGAAACTGAATAAAAAACTGAAACCCGGGTACTCACTATTATCAAAAGAAAGATGGCCGCACAGTGTGGTGTTTTTCCAGGGGGACTCAACAAGATTGAAGTGATGTAATCATAGTATAATCATGTTGTATATGAAAAAAAAAAGATGGAGAAAAAAAAAACCTAATAATTAAATCAGGAAACTGAGTAACATTACAAAAAAACAACTAAAGCATCTACTTGGACTTGCTGGCAGTCATTATCTAAAATTGTGAATATGACTCCTCATCTAATCAGTTCGATGTACTTTTAAGTAGTTTTTAAAAAGTTTATCCCTTCTTAAATGTATTTTGTTGTTGAGATATTTCTAGTTTTAAGTTTGAGCATTCAAACTGTAATTAATTCTTAATATTGTTTATATCTATGATTATTTATTGAGGCTGGACCAATAGTCTGTGTGGTTCTAGTAATAGAATAATTCTCCTGCTTCAGATCTCCGACGCTTTAATCCGGAGGGTCCACATGACCGAGAGTCAGTGGGGGAAGGGAACCCTCACCCCCAGGATGACCAGTGACTTTGACCTCACCCTAGACAGCGGACCCCTCCTGCAAACAATCCACCAGCTAGACTTTATGCAGATGAAAGGTAAAGAAGTGGGAGATCTCTTAAAATGTACCCCTAAAATGTTGTATGCCCTACTAGAATGTGTTTGTTTAAATTCTGCATTACTCACTTTATTAAGATTTGACATGAACTACATGTCCTTGAATCCAATGTCTGTCCTTCTTTATTATTACTGTTTAATAGAAGAGAAAAACGAATTGTGTCTCAGTGCAGAGAAACGTCTGTGTGTGAATGTGTTGATACCAGACTGGTTTTTCTCCTCCTCAGTCCCAGCTGCTCCCATCCTCCAGCTGGAGGAATGCTGTACCCAGAACAACAGTGCCACACTGTCATGGAAACAGCCACCGCTCTCCACTATCACCGTCGAAGGCTACATCCTAGAGTTGGACGACGGAAATGGAGGCCCATTCAGGGTAGGTTTCTATCCTAGAAAGTTAGGATTTAAATATTGAATCTAATGTGTGGCTCCCTGTCTTTAGATAGCCATAGAAAAGCAGAATGGATCCGACTTTTAGACGGATGATAAAGCAATGGTTTGAATTGTAGCTGAAATCCGTTGAGTCGAGGCTGAGACCCCTGATCCCACCGCTGTGGGTGATGTGACAGTGTTTCAAGGCAGCGAATGACATTTTGTTAAAACAGGCGTTAAAGCACAGCGGTAAGCTGATACCATCCCACACCAAGAGTGATCTGGGATCAAAGTCCACCCTCTGGACCCACACAAATACTAACTGTAATCTATCCCCACTGCACCCCCCACCACATCTTTGTTTAGCTTTGTTACAACAGCAACCTGTACCTCCTGAACCGCTCCATCACTACAAAAGCCATGGACATCCATATCTGGTTACATGTACCGGTAGGGTTTTTGCCCCCAGCCTAGGATTGAAGCCATCTGTTATCAGTGTGCAGGGAAAGCTAAACGAATATGTCCTGTTCTTTCTCGGAGGAAATGAGGTTTTATCTCTTGAAGACAATAAACCTCACTGCCTCGGGATAGAGAAAGAGGTAAAAAGGGTTTTCTGGAGCTCACCAAAATGATGTGCTTTACGTCATGCTCAAGTTTCAAGAAATCAAACCTTTTTTTAAGTTTTTGTTTATTATGATAGTAAAAAGCAAATGTCAGATATTAATAAATTTAAAAAAAAGATTAGGTCTATTTTGCAAATAAACTATTGAAAAACAAGGTGTTTACTCAACCTACCCAAAAACCACCTTATGCTTTGCATCCTGTCTATTTATTTCCTTTGTTCCTTGCATACTATTACAAGCTCAGTCCAACCGGATGGAGAGGAACTGAATCCAGTATTTTTAAAGCTTTGCATCAGATTTTTAATTTCCGTGGTTTTTGTCCTGCTAGCAGGTGAACTTCTGCCCTAATCTCAAGTCTTTAGGCCAATTTTCCATAATCTTTGATCAGCAACTCCCACAGCATAATACTGCCGCTGCCATGTTTCACCTTGGGATTGTGTTATTGGCAAACAGCAACTCTGGTTAATGAATGGCTTTCTTGCTGCCACTTCCGTAAAACACCTCTTTTGGAGCGTATAAGCTGTTAATAGGTTCTCACACTTATATATACAAATCCTCCACAGTTAGCCTGAGATTGTGGCTGCTTCTCTGACAGATGTCCTACCTTTCATGGTCTGTTAGTTTAGTTAAATCGAACTCTTTCCATGTTTGGATAGTGGAGTTCAGCAAAGCTTGGGATATTGTTTTATAACCTAACTCTCATTATTCCATGGAGTTGTGCATTTTAAGTCCTGTATTTTGAGTTATTTCTGTATTTTCTACTGTCTGTCAAGGTTTGGTTATGGTTTGTTGACCCAAAAGCAGAGGCAGGAAAGGCAGAGGTGAGACTTCTTGGTGATTTAATGAAAGTCAACTGAAAACAGAGGCAGGTAATCCAAAATATGAAAACAAAGTCCAAATAAACGGGAAACCGGGAATCCAAAAATCCAAAATGAAAACAAAGTCAAACCATGGAGACATGAGGGGAATCACTGTAACAAGGAGGGAGGCTCAGAGAGACGAGTTGGAGGAAGTTAGACGAGGACCCAGCAAAGAGGAACTGAAGAGAGATAGCATTTATAGAAGACAGAAACAAAGAGAGGACTAATGAGCAGATTGGGAACATGTGAGCAGAGAGCAGAACAGAAAGGGAGCTAGGGAAAAAGGAGAACACAAGAGGGCAGCAAATACACACCTGGGAGACTGACAATAACTAGAAAACACAACGAAATAGGAATTAAACCACTAAGACTATAAAAACATGGAGCAAAGTAAAACTAAACATAAAAACAGAACCAAGACTAAGACAGTAACTAAGAAAAAAACCAAAGAACACAACAAAATAAGAATTAAACCATAAAAAACTCTAAAACAAAGAGCAAAGCAAAACTGAACATCTAAAAGAAAAAACATAACAGAAACAGAAACCTAACACTGTCAACAATGCTCAAAGAGACATTATGTACATTTTGCCTGAAAATTATAATATTATAATTTAAAATCGCTTTTTTATTTGACTTTTTATTTTGACCCTTTACAACTGACACCTCAATAGTCCAGCCCTTCATTTACTCCGGGTTGGAAACTCCATGTAAGATGGAAAAAAATCTTGTTTAATAAGGAGAAGAGTGCTGCAGTTCTGTGTTTCGGCCACAGGGGGCAGGATCATTAAAGAACTCAATGATGCCTCTTTAAAAATGTCAATGTCAAATTAATTTATATACCGTAGTACTTTAAAAACAGGTGTAAAACTGCACCAAAGTTTTGCACAAGAACAACAATAACACAAGTTGATAAAAACAGGGTATAAAAAACACTACTTCAAATAAATGCCAAAGAATTAAAAATGAGTTTTAAGAAGTGATTTAAAATGCATATCTATTTAGGACAGGTCAATTGTTCCATAGACTAGGAGCAACAACAGAAAAAGCCTGATCTCTTTTCCTCTTCAGTCGAGTCCGAGGAACTGTCAATAATAGCTGGTTATTCGATCACAGGGTTCTGGACACAGACTGAAATTTTAAACTGACTGAAATTTTAAAACTTTATAAGTTAATAAAAGAATCTTAAAATTTGATAAAGTATGGGCAACCAGTGTAAAGAGGCCAGTATATAGCGTATATTGTCATGCCTCCTGGCCGTGTTGCTGCGTTCTGGATCAGTAGAAGTCGCTGCATCTGTGATTTATCCATGCCTCTATATACAGCAGTAGCCATTCAAAATTTCCCCACTTTCCTTGATGGAAAGTGGTCCTTGGCTGGTTCTTGGCTGGTCCTTGGCTGGTCCTTGGCTGGTCCTTGGCTGGTCCTTGGCTGGTCCTTGACTGGTCCTTGGCTGGTCCACTACAGTTCAGTTCCTTTTTAAACATCAATATTTGTACTAAAATATTCTTTCTGTCATGATTTGGGGACATTAAGATCTAAGGAGAAGCGTCATCTCCTGGTCAGACCCTGTAATTCAGTGACAGGGTGGAGTCAGAGTAAAAACATACGCAAGAAGGGGATCACTCCAGTGGCTGGAGGTTGGAGGGGATTTTGTCTGGAGTTGCAGGGAAGTGGGCTGCCACTTGGCTGGAGTTGACTGGAATTGGCCAATTTGAATGGCTGCTACTGTTGCAATAATCCAAACGAGATGTAATGAAGCCATTGATAAGTCCTGGAAGGTTTTTAGCTCTTCTAGTTATTTCTTTTTTCAGTGATATCAGAGGTCTAACCCCCTCAGTTCCTCAGCATGGCTCCCTAACTATCTTCCCTTCATTAATGCTGAATATACTCAGTTGGTTTCCATCACACTCTCACCTCTCCACAGTATTTGAGCTGGATCCTAAGTACAAGTGTTTTTGTTTTTAGGCGGGTGTATTGTACATTTTCTATCATCATATCCTGCTTTTCATCATCCAATGCCCTGTTTCAAACAAACCACTAACAGAACAAAGTATATTTTAACTTCTTATCTCCTTGTCCCTGACACCTCTGCTTTGTTTCTTACTGTTCATAATGATGTTTGATCTTTAATGTTCAAAAGCAAACCCAAACAGACCAGCTCTATTTACACTCAGAATAAGCTAAATGAGGTATTTTATTTAGTGAATACACTGAATACTGACGTGCAACACACTTTAGACAAATTTTAGAAAAGAAAGCACCATTTTGTTGTTGTGTACATTTTTTCATGTAACACGACAGAATGTAAAAAAAATTTGAAATGAATGATCACTGTTACTACGAGGGGCGTTCAACAAGTAATGCCCCTGACACACTTCCAGATGTTTGATCCAGCTGAAATTTTGCATGTGAGGTTATTTAAATCTCTATAGATTAAGCAGCAAATTACAGCTCTGAACTATTTGTGGTTTCTGACTTACAGGTGTTTGAACTGAGTAAAGTCTGAAATGGAGCCTGTTGAGTGTCGAGCAGTGATCCGGTTTTTCTATTTGAAAGGACTTACACCACGGGAGACTTTTGATAAAATTAAAGTAACTTATGGTGATGATGCCCATTATATGACCTTGCAAAATGTTTTACAAGGTTATATTATGGGACATTATATCTATAAGTTACTTTCATTTGATCAAAAGTCTCCCGTTGGGTGCGTCCTTTCAAATGCAAAAACACAGACTTGACTCAGTTTGAATGCCTGTAAATCAGAAACCACAATTAGTTCAGAGCTGTAATTTGCTATTTAATCTATAGAGGTTAAAATAATTACACATGCAAAATTTCAGGTCGATCAAACATCTGGTAATGGGTCAGGGGTATTACTTATTGAACGCCCCTCGTATATCCAGTTTAATTAATCAAGCCTGTCCTCTAATAACTGATGGGAAGCAGTTGTAATGTAGGAAATAGTTTTCCTAGAGTCTAATTGTTTTTGTGCATCTCACCCAGGATATCTCAGATTACATTTTTTGAGCTCCTCTTAAAAACTGGAAATTATTTAGAACAAGATGCAACATTTTCCCTGACAACTACTTACCCACTACTCCCTCCTCTACTATCTGACTCACTGAGTCCAACCAACGCAGCATCCTGCTGAGCCCGGCGACTCGTGTGCCCATGTCTATTTATCTATTTATACATCGGCGCGGGCTGCCGTGCCCACTCGTGCGCCATTGTACAAACTCATGCTGACACTTATTACCTCCTCCATCAAATCCAGAAGGGACTCTCCTTCAGAAGCTGAGCAGGACTCTTCAGTGTCATAATTACGCACGTATCTGGCAGGGTAACAGGAAGCTCCGTGTGTCTTTGCAGGAGGTGTATGTGGGGACGGAAACCATCTGCACGGTGGACGGGCTCCACTTCAACAGCACCTACAAGTCCAGAGTAAAGGCGTTTAATTCCAGCGGAGTGGGCCAATACAGCAAGACGCTGATCATGCAGACCTCTGAGAGTATGTTGAGCATCATCTCCTCCTTTTTTTCCAAAATTACTTTTAAAAATTCAGGAAAGAAAATGGAAGATGTGCCACTTTCAGGATATTTAATTCACTAGCTGGAATTACTGCATATAAATGCTACAATAAGGTTAAACTATACATTACAATTATTATAATTGATTTTAAGTATTTAGAAGAATTTGTTTTCACTTATTTATTTTTATTTTTTTCTTGCAAAAAAGGTAGAAATATCCAAGCTTTGCTGTAGATGACTGTACTGCTTACGGCCTAGACTTTTAAATCTGTAAACAAGCAGTTACATTTTGAAGCGCCATTAATCTTAATCAATCATAACTAATTATTTTGACAGCCCAGCTTAAAGCAGCGCTGATCCATTTATTCAGAGGATTCTGGATTGACAGTCAGTGTTTGGGATTAAAGTCGTTTTTTACAAACAAAGTTTTGAATCCAGAGAGATCAAGGCTCATGGCTGGCGATAAAAAGAGACCATTCTAAGAGCCTCTTCACCAACTGTCTCCAAATAAGCCAAACTCCCAGGCCACCCTCTTATATTGGCTGTGAGGCCGGCTAATTTGGTTTTTGGTTTAGAAGAGACACTTTATAATCTGTGTGCACTGTGTTCATAATAGATCAGAAAGCACAGACAATACAGTTTACACTTAGGTTTCTAAAGAAGCGTTTATGATGAGTGCAGGAGAAAAAAATAATAAATAATATCAGAAATGTACGGAGCCCCTCTGATGACATGGTCAAAAAAAATGTTTAATTGTGGCCACGAAGTAGTATTTCGCGGCCACGCAATAAGTTTAATGTGCGCACGAAATACTTATTAATAATATCAATAAATCCGCCCCTGTTTTCAGGCTTATGTTAACTGTAATGACTTATCTTGGACAGGCTGCTATGTAAACGGGCCTTTAGTCCTTCGTTTAGCTATGCTGCGGTTGTTTACACTATGCCTTTTCCACCTAAAATAGCGTCTTAGCAACAAATGTCACGTGACTGGCGGAGACCGACTGGGTAAGTAAATCGAGCGCGCCTTAGACCTTAGAGAAGGCGCGCTCGATTTGCTTACCCAGTTGTCCAGGAATGATATTAATATTATTAATAAGTATTTCGTGCACACGTTAAACTTATTGCGTGGCCACGAAATACTACTTCGTGGCCACAAGTAAAAACATTTTTTGACCATGTCATCAGAGGGGCTCCGTAGAAATTTCCGGTATGGTGTAAACTAAGAATCTCTGGAAATATGGCATCAAATTCCATCATTTTTAGACTTATCTAAAAATCTTTAAATCATTATCAGACTGTGATTTCCCCAAACAAATCAATTAAAACGCTGTTTGTAATGTATTTAGATTCAAACTCATAGCATTAGCATTTTGGAACATGTGTCATGGCTCTTTGCTCAGAGTGGCACCGTTAGGGGGGCAGTGGCTGGGATTAAGGGAGTAAAAGGAGAGTTTTCGTTTAATAACTCTGTATTTTGTAAGCTATGTAGTAAAAGATGCCAACACATTTCTGTTGCCTCATGATGTTGAAATGAGCTATTCCTGTTTGGTAATTATTGAAGGACTATTTTCCTGTTTTATTAGATCAGAATCAGATTATTTTGTTGTTTGCACAAAATGGTTTAGCAAAACATATGTACAATTAATGGAATAACCTGCTTAAAGCAATTAGATGTTATATCTTTTTACTTTTTCTTACTGTGTCGTGTATATAGGGTTAAAGAGGGAGAGTATTAACTATAGATAAGATAGGATAAGATAAGATAAGATACAAAACTATACGATAAGATAAGAAATGTTTTTATTGTTATATTGTGGGGAAATTAAGGTGTGATATTTATATTTATATGCATGCAGCAGTTGATTTTAACATGAATTTAAAAGAAAAATTGTGACAGGTCCTGGATGATGGTGATCTTTAATTGTAACCTAAGGCAAATAACATGCATGCATTCTGCTGTGCCTCTCATAACCCCATTAGTTGACTTTTTGAATTCTCCAGATTCAAGTTATGACCAACAAACCTTGATAAACTCTAAAGAAGAAGTAATAAATAATTGATAGATGCTTCAAGACTAAAATCTTGTTTTATTTTTACTTAGATTTACATACCTAGATTGCAGGAAAAACAAAAAATAACTTTGACTCAGTTATATAGAGTTAATTTTGTTCCATTATTGTTGCAAGCAAAATCACGTTTTATAAATGAAAATTGGGAAGAAAAAAAAATACATTTTGTCAAATAAAATTGGAAAAACAATGCAATACAGAAATATAACTTTCAAAAAAGCATAATTATCAGAAAAATATTTTGAGTATCTTTGTTTGAAATTCCTGTTTTTTAAATACATTTATAACTTTAAATGTTTATAACTTTTTTAAACAGTTTTTATGTTTCATATTTTTAACTTTTTGAATTTTCTTTCTTTCTTTTTTTTATTGATACAAATTGCATAATTTTCGAGTTGGATTTTATCCTCTTCTCCACTAAGCTTTGTTAGCTTATGTGGACGTTAGCAACTACATTGTATTGCTCAATGTGTGCGTCAAGAGCGAAAGATTGTATTGGCCATGAACTGAAAAGAATGTGATAAGTTAAACACTCAAACATTTTTTAATGAAAGAGTTTTAAAGTTTGGTTACTGCATTGCATTTTTTCAAATTTCAATTGAAAAAATGTGGTGTGTCTCTTTATTTCATTTTATAAGTTTGTTCTTCGTAACAATAATGGAACAAAATTCACTCCATATATTTGTAGGAATACTTAATTCTTATTGGAAGATAATTTGTTATTATCAGGTGTCGGCTGAATTTATCTACAGTCGTCATTGATTAACTTTCTGACTGATTTCCTTCTGTGACAAACAGAATCCTCCCACGTATCTATTGCATGATTTCAGTCTGATTACAACAGTATGATTGGAATACTGCAGAGGAGTTTGTTTAAGCCTTTAAACCTGTGACGTCCAGCGGCAGCTGGTTGGTGTATAATCCACTCATGTTCTTGCTTCGCCATTAGTTAAATGCTGCTCTGCATAGTTAAGGCAGTGCGTCATCCATCAATGTACCTGAAAACCCAGACAGCATCCCTGTCTGCCTGAACGAGCACTCAGCAGATGTTGGAGGCTGAGCTCTGCGGTCTAACCTTGCAGACCCATTCAGGGGAATTTTTTTTTTTTCATCCATCACTCTGAGCAGAAAACACTTTGATTTTGTCAGTTTTATCTCCCAGGTGACTGGAGACATAAACAGCCTTTTTGTTTTTATTCTATACTTTCCAAGTCTTCAATGCTTTTTTCCCTGATTGATTTTGAGGAAATCCTTTAGTCTTTGACCGCTGTGGTGAACCAGCTTCCCTGATCCAATCTGTTTTTATACCCTCTCCACCTTCCCCTGCAACCCTCTCACACTGTCTGTGCTTCGCTCGGCTCTGCTTTCCTTTTCTCCGCTCTTCTACTCTCCCCCCTTCATGTCACATTTCAGCAGGACTCCCTCCATGTGATATTCAGGCTATAGGCGCAGGTATGGACGGCTCCTCAGCTTCTGTACTAATCCTCTCTGGGGCCTTTGCCTGTTTCATCAGTGAAGTCGTCACACCTAAACCAGCAGGGGGGCAGTTTGCTGCTCTGTGGGCTCCAAATATTAAACATTTAATATGAACCTCTAATAAATGTCTGTGTATTATTTCCTTTGAGAAATAATATCAGCTAATGTGGCTGCGCTGCATGTAGGGACACCTAAAGCTGTAGATAAGCAGGACAAGTGGAGCCCATAAAAACAACAAAAGCCCGCCTGTTTACCACCTACCATACCGCCTTTATTTAGAAAACAGTTTAAAATACCGAAGGTCAGCAAAGTGTGCTACATATGTGCTATATAGATATACATTAACAGTTGAATTGGTTTAGATAAGACAAAAACAAATGTTTGACTCAATATTTCCAGCCTGAATCGAGCAGTTTTGCAATATTTTCTGTTAAATATCGAGGAAACAATTTATATCCAAAGTGGGATGATTATTTTGCTTTACCACCAATTTAATTCAGTTTTATTGTGCATCCTTGCAATAACAAAAAGCAAAGGGATTTGCATGTAGATGGCCAAGCCCCCATGTGTCATCTGCTGATGGAAAAGCAGATTGGAACCATTAAAGCTGCAGAGATTCATCAGCGACCAGCTTGTTGCTACAATGGAAAACAACCATAAGATATATTATTGAAAAATACTGCATTTCTGCTCTGCAATCGTTGATTATCTATCTTGATTAGTTGGTTCAGGATTTATTAAGGTTCTTTTTATTATTGGTTGAGCTTCTGTTGTCTCAAAATAAACAATCGCTGAAACTTTTCAGCGGTTTATGCAAAAACTGTTTTATGAAGTTTTAAACCGTTTTTCAGTTATTTATGACAGAATTTGTGGTAATTTACAGATCAAAAGTAGGCGGAACACCATCCTATTGAAAAAATAGGATGTAAGAATAAAGTAAATGAAAGTATTCACTTTTATTTTCTCTATTAATCAACTTGCTCAGAAAATAGCAATAGCAAAAAACTACTGAGACATTTCAGAATATTTTTAAGAGGTCCACTTGGCCTCTAGAATCATCATCAGCCTCCAGAACCAACTAATGTAGGTACAATTAACTGCATTTTCCTGGAACTTCATAATTCACTGAACTATTTCTTTAAAATATTACCTGTTAAATATTTTGTAAATTACTAATTAAACAGTTTTGAGTTTGCAGACTCTCTGAGATTTTTTATTTTAGCATTTAAGAAGGTAACTGTAGGTAATTTACCCAGTTTATGATAAGTTATAGAGCTTAATTCTAAGGATATTAACCTAATGTAATCATTGTTGTGGTGAAATGATGTTTCTTGTTATTGTTCCTCCCATAAACATGTTTGTATAGCTTCTCCTCATTTATCCGTCAACCTCCTGATCGTGTGTTAAAGTATCACCACTATCTGATGTCTCCGTGTCTCGATGTGATTCCCTCTGTCTGTGTACTACACAGTTGCTTGGTTCACGTTCGACCCGGCCTCTGCTCACCCGGACATAGTGTTCTCCAACGACAACCTAACAGTGTCCTGCAACAGCTACGATGACCGTGTGGTGCTGGGTAACACCGCCTTCTCTCGCGGTGTCCATTACTGGGAAATGACAGTCGACCGGTACGACAACCACCCTGACCCGGCCTTTGGCATCTCTCGGGGTGACGTTCTGAAGGACGTGATGCTGGGGAAGGACGACAAGGCCTGGGCTATGTATGTGGACAACAACCGGTCCTGGTTCATGCACAACAACTCCCATACGAACAGGCAAGAAAGTACAGCATCACTGTTTGCAGGGAAATGTAAAAAGCTTTTATTTTGTTGGTTTCGATGAGAATTTTATTCCCTTTTAATCAAAAATCATTAGCATGAGTGTTTATAGTGTTATTACCTTTCACTTTTTTGAAGAAAAAGGAAAACTACTTTTTTTGTGGCATGCATTTTTATTCTGCTGCTTCAGTAGAGTCTGTTAAAACAGCAATAACACGCTATGGTTCAGCAAGCTAGTATGCGAACTCTGTGAAATTCCTGTGTTTGACCTTGCAGGACGGATGGCGGCATCAGCAAAGGAGCCACGATAGGAGTGCTGCTGGACTTCACTCGCCGGATCCTCATCTTCCTCATCAACGATGAACAGCAGGGTCCGGTTGCCTTTGAGGGCTTGGAGGGCGCATATTACCCTGCTATCAGCCTCAACCGTAACGTCCAGGTAGGAAATTATAGTTTTAGTAGAAATATATACCATACACTAACAGCAGATTAAGACGTGCGTAATTATGGTAAGAAGATGATAAATGGTTTTCTCTTTTTTCAGTGGTGGTAAGATGAAAAACAGTAAAACAGTATTGAAAGAAAGCCAGAAGGTGTCGTTGTTTTCAGTTTGCAAACAAGTGGAAGTATCTGTTTGGTCATCTGGCACCAAAAGTGACCTGCCTTTATTTTAAAACAAAAGACTCAATGCTGGAGCAGAGGTTCACTATCCAGCAGGATAAGAAACTGAAAGCAGAGTTTAAGCTCAAAGTATATAAATATATATGTGTGTTAGAATGACCAGTCAAAGTCTACACCTATAATAAATGAAAATATAAGCTACTATTTAAAGCCACTTTTCATCCAGTCTGAGATTCGTGAAGCAGATGATGTAGAAATTAGAATTTCTAGATGTGCAAAAGTCAGTAGAAACCGTTCTTACTTTAACTGCAGCAAATGTGCTTCTACAAAGTTAAAACTCAAGGAAAGCAATTATATGTTATGTACTTTTCTTAAAGCCGCTCTACTTTGAAAACCATGTATCATTTCACATCTTTAGGTCTTTTTTTAAAATAATGGACTCTTTTTTGTTTGTTCTTTATGAAACATACTTAAGTTTATTTATTCATATTTTTAAGAGGCCCCATAAAATCCATATTTTAAGTATCTGGTTTGAACGTTGATGCTTGAAGCTTCACATTTAGCCAGTTTGTAAAGCTTGAGAACATAGCTCAACAGCTCCACCTGCAGGAAAAGCTTCCCTCAACCCTTTGTAAGTGTTTGTGTTATTTTCTTCAGATCACTCTTCACACTGGTCTACCCATCCCTGACTTTTACACCCCCGGGGAAGCAGATCCAACGAGCTCTGTGTGTTAAAAACTGCAGGACTTTCCTCATCTCCCCCCGGCCTCTAATCTCGCCCTCGGCTCTCTACTCCTTCTGTCACCCTGACCCCATGACCCCATGACGCTCCGTCGGAGGCTTTCCAACAGTCCTAAGCCATGCCTTTTTCATGCCTAATCCTTGGACACGACCATGTGCTGGGGGGGTGTCCCTGCATATGGTGCCTTGGTACCTATGACTTCTATACTTTGGACAAACAGTCTGAGTAGGAAGATTTAACAAATACAATATCCAGAGGAAGGAATCCAGACGCTTTAAGGTCAATTATAAAAATATTGAAATGAAGGAATATATTTACTTTTTGGACAATACTGAGTCAAGACTAGGCATGGGCTGGTATAAAAACTCTCAATGAACTGATTTAATAAGTAGATTCTTACAAAAAATGTTAAAAGCAAATATGTAATATAGTTTAACTGATTTCCGTCATAATAAAGCAATAATTATTAATCCTGCTGCTAAAAATCATTACAAACATTTATTATAACATTTATAATTTTATAATCTGTTTCATTATTTTGCAAAACAGAACTAGTCCTTAATATTCCCAAAAAAATACATTTATATTTTATCCCTAAGGACTAATATCAAGTCAAAATTCACATTTACTTTTTCGTTTACATTTATAGTTATTTTTTCTTCCCTTCATATTTTCCAGCTATATGTGACCACATTTAGGCCCAAACTCCTTTATGTTTGTCACTTTTAACAGATTTTAATAGAAGGTTAATCTGTATAAAAATGAAAGCATCCAATTATTCACTGATCTTTCAATATTCCGTGATCAGAAATATTTTCTCTGCAGCTTCAATACTAGAAAAAAAAACTCTTTGTTTGATATATTGTGGAACCAAGAACTGTGACTGTAGGAGGAATATAGATATAAGATAAGCAGATATGGACACAGTTATAGAAGAACCTTTTTAAAAATTGCAGTAGATTGACAAGAAACTGGGAAAACTGGCTAACAGAGAGATTCCCCGTACATGTTTTAGTAATAATGTCCAAGAAAACTGAATTTTTTAAGAAGCGGGTTATAGATTCTGCAATCATGTCTCTTATAAAGTAACACTGGGAGTATAAAAAATATACAGCAGATGTTTTAATAGTCTGGCTTTCTTTATATAAAGCCTGTATACAGCTGCTAATTGGCTGGTTTTTTTTTTTTTTATGGCAATATCTTCATAGGAAAATTGGGAAATATCCTTTTCTTTTCCCAATATAGCTTTCAGCCCTCGTTGGTTCTTAAATTACAGTAGAAAACTGAACTTTTAGCAGTTGTGAAACTTCGTAAAGCCTTGATATTTCTCGGTTCTGGTAACCAGCCCATGCCTGGTCAATAGTATGGCTACCTTTACATTGCAGGTGTAAATGCTCCATTTAGATGTTTTAGTTTCTCTGTTTCATTCACATCATACTTTAAATGGCACCTCCATCCGATTCCAATGAGAACAGCTATAGTCTGAAACTTGAGTAGCATGCTCAGAGCAACACATGACGTTACACACAGCAAACTGTTTGCAGAAGCAAATATGGATTCCACACGTCGCCATATGTGCATCAGCTTTGAAGCTATGAGGTCAGAGCTAAAAAATAAGCTTAGCTACATTAATGTGTGCCAAGTTTATTTGTTTGATTGCATGGCTTTGGGCCTCCTCTGGTGCAAAATCACGAGTCTCTCACATTTCCATGATGTTAAAATTGGTAAAAGTATCCATTTAAAATGAGGTCACTTCATCACAGTTTCATCCAGTTCAGAAATAAAACCGTGTTATTCACACTGAAATACTTGTGACATAGAAGTTGTATGAAATGCGACGGTTCAGGCCAAGTCAGACTTCATTTAAAAGTGAAAGTGAATTTATTTTATTCAGAAAAACTCAAGCAAAATCAGATCTGGTTCACTTTTGGACAAAAAAGTTGGATTATCTGCAGTGTGAACGTAGCCTAAGGCGAGATTATTGGCGCTTAGACTCAGATCAGGTCATTAATGCAGGTAGAAAAGGAATAATAAAACTTCAGCTTCACATTTTGCAGTCTGGTGTAAAAATATATTCCAATATTCGGCAGAATGTAAAACAGTTTCGTAATTTTTTCACAAAATTGTTTTAAACCTTTTTTTCCTCATAACTCAATATTGTATTCTTCATGCGTACGTCTTTGTCAGGTTTCCATTTTGAAGAATGTGAATTTAAAGCTCTTAGTTGACAATGACAGTAATTTTTGTGAAAGTGTGTAGATGAGTGGAAGCGCTATGATCCCTGGACCCGAGTCCAATTCTCAGCCATATCAGAGTCATTACGTGTCTGTATAAGTGGGAAGCTCTTCTTAGTGGCTTTGCTCAAGTGGAACTTTGTTGTGTTTTTCTTTTTTATTACATAATTGAGTTATAAGATGTAACCAGAAGTTGTTTTGATTTGCAGTGCAGCTTTTAAAACTGGGAGGGACTTTAGTTTAATGTATCTTTAAGAAGTGGATTAAAAATGACTGTGAAGAAGTTTTATTAAGGTGCTAAAGAAGTTTGCATAGTTTGAGCTTTTTTTACTGTAAGTGACTGAATTCTAGTAGTTTTGTAATATTGTTATGAAATGATCTATTGCGAAGAGGTGTAAAGTTAAATAAGTTATTGATGTTACCAGATTTTTAGTAAGAATTTATTCCCCGATGTATAGTTATAACGAAGGGGATGAATGGAACTTTTCTGCTTTAAACATTTTATCAGAAGTGTTTTGGGGGTTAAAAGGCTTTTCAATTTGCGTTTCTATGAAAGCAACAGAAGAAGAGACGATGGGTGGATTTTTGGCTGACATTTTCAGTAATTAATGCTAAGCAGTACAATGCTAAAGTGCACAAACATGACAAACTTTCCAGGTTTATTACAGCTAAGAAAAAGTATTTCCTGTACAATTTACTAAGAACTAATGGCCTCTTTTATGCTAAAATTAGCCAATTAGCATCAAACTCAAGTGATAACTAAAGTTTATAAAGTAGCTGTCAATATAAACACTGTAAAACAAACGACATAACGACCAGAGGTGGGTAGATTATCCCAAAATGTTATTATCAAGTAAATGTAAAAAGTAGTTATCCAAGAAATTCCCCAAAGGAAAGTGGAAAAAAATCTCATGTAAAGAGTACTTGTTAGATCATCACATTTGATTAAAGGTGTAGAAATGGTACAGTCAGATAGACTTGTTGTCCAGGATTTCATATTTGAAAGAATTATTGTTTAAATCAAAATAAATGGCATGATTACAGAATAAAAAGTCCCTGCAGAAGAAATACTTTTCCAACATGATATTTTTCAATTTAAACTTATAAAAATCAATCCTCAGGGTGATTAATTGATGTTTATCGAAGCAGAGTAAAGATTTTCCAATGATGATATTAACAGTATATATTCAGCTGATCCTTGAAAAGCTCAACCTATTGGACAGAGTGACCAGAAATTTTACTCAAAACCAGGGATACTGAACAAGAATATAATTCAGGTGTAAGTGAGAATTACAGTGCAGTGAAAATACTCCGAAAAGTAAAATGTTTTACAAAATATTACTCTAGTAAGTGTAACTAGTTAGTGCCCACCTCTGAGAACAACCACTGCATTCCACCTGGTAAATACTGCCTCTGAGCAACATTTTAACGTATTAACGCTCAGAGTTATAACTCCTCAGTTTTTCAAGCTGCAGCTAAAACTAAAAGCATCTCAGTTAATTTCAAATGATGATGAACCTGAGAAAATGACAACATAATCTTTTTTTTTTTTTGCAAGATTGTGAGCAACAGTAGGCAATAAAATAAAATTAATAATACAAAAAAAAATTCTACAAAGTATTATGCATTCTATAGTGAGAATATCAGAAACTCAAAATTGCTCAATTAAACACTCCTTTTCAAAGGAAGTCCCTCAAAAAATAAGTTTTTAGTTAATTGCAATCCTAACTCTTACCACTAGGTGGCACTAAAGCTGTTTGATTGCACTTCTGATATTCCAGACTAATGACTTTTTTTTTTTTAATTGCTGAAATAAGCTAAACAAAGGCAACATTTTTCTAGTCCTGCTGGATGACAGATTTTACGAGGTTTGCTTCATCAAAGCAAATAAAAAAGAAAATCAATATGAGTTTTTAGTAACAACTTTATGGATAGGAAATAGGAATGTTTAATGTAAAATTAACATTTTTAACTAAATTATTGATTTTAAAATTTCTCTGACTGGGGTTGTAGAGGCTCCTTTCTCACTCAACTTTTTCACCCCCAAAAGAATCAGAGTTTCTAATTCAGTTTTATTTGTACCAACCGTTAGAGCTTAATGAGAGAGCAGCACTACAGGAAAACTAATCACTCATTCTCCATTTTAATTTAACAAAATAAGATCAATTCTAATCTTGACAAAGGCTTGGAAAACTGAGGTGTTTTAAAACATTTGGAAGGAATATAGATCAGTGAGTTTGTAAGTCAGACAGCTAACTGCAGATGGTCAAATAGACACATTCTCTGTCCCCAGTGCTTTCATTCATTTCTGTTTCAGGTGTTTGTTTTCTTCTGTAAAATGTTGTCTGACACTTCATCTGTCTAGAGAAATAAGTATTGATGGAAGTAATTAAATTTTATGTTGAATGGCTACTTTAGAGAAGATGTTTGTTTTTCAGGTTCAGAGAAAAGTTTTTCAGAGCCTCGTAGCCCAGAGGACAAACAGTGACATGCAAAAGTATTCATTCTCTTTCAACTGTCTCACATTTTTTATTTTTACAACCACAAATGTTTAGATTATTAACAGATTTTAAGAATGTGTGAGTTTTAGGTTAAAGGAGACAAATGCACGGTTTTCAAAATTCTTAACAAAAACAAATATGCAGCATCAACTGCATGTAGATTAAAAAGCAGCTGAGTCGTCAATTTGCAAAACCACCTTTTAGTGCAATTAAAGCTGCAAGTCTTTTATGTCTAACAGCATTGCACATATAGAGGCAGTTTAAATGTGTCTTTGCAGCTGCACTGCACTTAGTTTGGTCAATTTAACTCAACCCTAAAAATGGGTTTGTGTAGATATAACTTAAAGGCACACTATGCAACATTTTTCACTTAATTAATGTGTTCCATAACGTTTTGGGTGATTAAATGAGTCATTTCAGGTCGAACAAAGGTTTTCTCGGCCGCCCTGGTGGTCTGTGGGGGAAATACCGTAGTTGCAATTGCAGGAGCCCTCGGCCCGCACCCACAGGCTCAGAAGTCTCGTGCATCGCGAGAGTCGGTCTTGCTTTACGGCGAGAACTGCTACACGCCCCCAGTGAAAGGCATGCTAGTTGCTAGCGCAGTGGCAATATTTGTGCAGTTATCATGGCGGAACCAGCGAGAAAACAGCGACATTTTCAAACTCGAAAATTGGAACAAAATAGTCACTTACCGCCGTAGACATGGTGATTCGTTGCGTTCGCCTGTCTGCTAAGCTCAAAACAACCTCGCCTGGCTCGACAGGAGAACAGCTGAGCTTATTTACGACAGTGCACTTTTACTTTCGCCCTCTGGGGGGAGCCTCGCTGGAAAATCAACACCGGTTGCATAGTGTACCTTTAACATTACCTTGTTAATACCTGAAATTATAGCCACGTGAATCATTCAATTGATTATTCTTACTTTCAGTTTGGTGTTAAAGACAAAATATTCACAAGAAATGAAAGACATGTGGCTGAAATAATAATGATCACTGCTGAACAAAATCCTTCCCTCAGCATGATGCTGCTGCCACCCTGTTGCAAACTGCTTATGAGACTCTTTTTCTCTCTTCTAGCCTGCCAGGCTTTCAGTATTCTCAGATTATAGCTCCCCTTATTGTTCAGTGCTATAAATATTGCTTCCTAATTCAACTTATTTCTAATATTTTTGCTGCGTTCATTGATCTCTATGATATTGTTTATTAATGCCGTCTAACAAACCTCTAAGGCTGTCACTGTATAGCTGGATTAGTTCTGTGTCAGAAGGAAAACAAAAAGGGGGAAATAAAAGTTCCAAAGGTTTGAATACTTTTGCAAGGCCCTGTAAGTTAGCTTTCTAGCCTAACCAAGGGGTGCTATCCTGTGTGAGAACTTCACGGGTGTGCCTTTCCCATTTGTATTACCCCCAAACATCCATGAAACTTTGCTCCAGATTAAACCTTTTGCTCCAGCAGAGTCAACTGTAACATCTGTGATGCCTA